AATTTATATTAAGTGAATTATATTAAACGAATGGTGTTATAAATATCCAAATGGCCCTTGGCAGAAAAAAAAAAAGATTCTCCATCCCTGTTCTAGTGGGTTGACTATAAAAAAAAAAAAAAAAAAGGAGGGAAATTGCATGATGTATATTGGGAGAGAAGACCAAGAAAATTGGCTTTTTTGAAGGAATAGACAAGTATTAGCATATGGGGAGGAAGGAGCCAGAGGAGAGAGATTCACAATAGAGGAAGAGAGCTGTTGCCTGACAGAACAAGATCTCAGAGTGGCATGAGCCCAGGAATATAGGCTGATAAGGATTGGCCTTGAGCAACACAAGTGACTTCTCTTCCTCAACAGTGGAGAAAAGGATGGTGGGTACAGATGAAGAAACACTTCATGGAGAGGTGTGGTAACAGAATAATGGCTCCCCAATGATGTCCACATCCTAGTCTCCAGACCCTGGGAATATGTGATGTTATATAGCAAAGGGTAATCTTGCAGATAGAATTAAGGATATTAATAAGGTGACCTTGATATGGGGAGATCGCCTTGAATTGACAATGTGATCACGAGGGTCTTTAAAAGTGGAAGAGAGAGGCAGAAGAATCAGTGTCGGAGCAGTACTATGTGAGAAGGATTCACCACGCCATTGCTGACTTTAAAGATGAAAAAAATGAGCTGTGGGCCAAGGAATGTTGTGGCTTCCAGAAGCTGGAAAAGACAAGAAATGGCTCCCTCTAAAATCTCCAGAAAGAACACAGCCATCTGGCTTCTTGATTTCAGCCCAGTGGGACCTGTGTTAGACATTTGACCTAGAGAATGTTATAGAATATGTTGTTCAAGCCACTGAGTTTGTGGTAATTTGTTATATCAGCAATAGGAAACTAATGCACTGGGGACAGATAATTTGAGGGAGTCCATGCCTGATTAACCCAATTTTCTTATACACACACACCCAATATCAGAGGGCTGTAAGATATTTCAAATTAGCCTGAAGCAGAGAAGAGGGAAGAAAATAAAAACAACCCTGAGAAGTGGTAATTAATAGCGAGCTTTCTGGTGTATAGTTCAAATTCATTTCACCTCAGCAGGTCAAAAAGTCCTCAGGCACCAGTCTTGTGGCGCCCCCTGGTGCTTGCTTGAAACAAATTCAAATGCTCTAGACTAGAGTAACATACTTTCATTCTAGAGTTCTACAGTTTCTCACAAATAATTTTGCTCATGATAACAAACAGCAAAGACAGAAAGCCCTCAGTGAAAACGAATAGAAACAACAGACAGCAGGAAAAGACTTGTAAGACTTCAAATTATTGAGATTATCAGATACATGCAGTGGTGTGCTGAGTTGACTCATACAGACTCAAGAAAACCAAGCATCTCTCTCCAACTTCGTATTTATCAGAGATTTCAAGATAGTAGTTTGAAATTGGCCAATGTGGGAGTTTTTATACCACAGAAATCAGAACATTTTATAAACCAGGGCTTTTTTTCTTCAGAGAGCTGATGATTAAAACTTTACCAGCATACCACTGGTTGTAAAATTATCATTCATATTATCTTTAAACAAATAAAATTTAGCCTAAACCGGTTTGGCTCAGTGGATAGAGCGTCGGCCTGTGGACTGAAAGGTCCCAGGTTCAATTCCGGTCAAGGGCATGTACCTCGGTTGCGGGCACATCCCCAGTGGGAGGTGTGCAGGAGGCAACTGATCGATGTTTCTCTCTCATCGACGTTTCTAACTCTCTATCCCTCTCAATTCCTCTCTGTATAAAATATATTAAAATAATAAAATAAAATAATAAAAATAAAAGCTTTAAAAAATATGCTGAAAAGAAGTTTTAAAAAAAGAAAAGAAATAAAATTTAGGAGGCCTTGGGTTTAGCAATGAAGTTTTATATACAACATTGAAAGCATTACCCATGAAAGAAAGAAATGGACAAAAAGGACCACATAAAAGTTAAAAACTTCTGCTCTGTGAAACACACTGCTAGCAGAAGGAAAAAACAAGCCACATACAGGGAGAAAATATTTGGAAAACACATAGCTGATGAAGGACTGTTGTCCAAAATATACAAAGAACCCAAAACTCAACAATAACAAAGCAAAGCACCAATTAAAACGTGGACAAAAGATGTGATTTTAAGGAACATATACGGATGACATTTAAGGTCCCTCCATGTATTTTCATGTAAGCATATGAAAAGATGTTCAACATTATATGTGGTTAGGGAATTGCAAATTAAAATGAGACAACACTACACACATAGTAGTGTGGCTAAAATGCAGACAACACAAAACAGTAATAAGGATGTGGAGCAATAGGAATTCTCATTCATTGCTGGTGGAAATACAGAATGATATAGCATTTTGAAAGACAGTTTGGCATTCCCCAAAACTAAACATACCATCCAGTGAAAGTGCTCCTTGGTATTTTTCCAAAGGAATTAAAAAGTTATGTCCACACTAAAACCTGCACATGGATGTTTATAGCAGCTTTATTGATAATTTCCACAGCTTGGGAGCAACCATGATGTCCTTCAGTAAGTAAATGAATAAATATACTGTGACCTATCCAGAGAATGAAATATTCTTCAGTGATAAAAAGAAATGAGCTATCAAGCCATTAAAATACATGGACGGACCTTAAATGCACATTGCCAATGTGATATGCTATATACTATATGATTTTAATTATTTGTCATAAGACAGTAAAAAGATCTGTAGTTGCCAGGGGATGTGGGGAGAAAGGGATGAATAGGCAGAGCACAGAGGAATTTTAGGGCAGTGAAAATACTCTATGATATAACAATGATAAATACATGTCATTACACATGTGTTAAAACCCATAGAATGTACAAACCAAAGAATGAACACTAATATACCAGTAAATTACATATTTCACTTAATAATGTGTCACTATAGGCTTATCTATTGTAACTGGTTTACTGCACTAATACAAGATGTTGATGATAAGGGAGACTGAAGGACCGTGAGAGGGTATATAGGAACTCTATATTTTCCACTTGATTTTTCTAAAAACCTAAAACTGCTCCAAAACAACAATAACAAAGAAAGTGTATTATTTTTTTAAAGGCATCCCAGGTAATGTTGTTCACCTAGTCCAGCACCAAGTATTTAGAAACTACTGTTTTAAGCAATAGGTGCATTTTGGTCAAAATACGTCCTTAAATGGATGCAATTAAAACAATTCATCACTGACTATAAAGTCTGCTTCCCTTGGAAGGTGTTTTTGTTGTATTGAGAATTTGGACAACTGCATGCTTAAAATAAAAGGCTTTCTTTCTTTGCCTCTACACCTGTAGGAGCAGAGCCTGACGGGATCTTGTAGGAGGAATTCAATCATGAAATGGGATGTAGATTGAAAATAGGATAAACTTGAATACCTTAGTGTCCTCCAACATAGCAAGCCCATGAGTCTCTACATTGGTTTTCCATTGATTGCTTTTCAGTTCCAAATCCACCCATCTTTAACTGTTCAATGATGATGGAGGTGGGCTTTGTAAATATTTCCCCCTTACAAACTATTAATCCTTGTCAGCAGAGAGTGCTAGAGAGATACTGGAAAAGAAAGGGGTTTCCTTCCTGGTCTGGTATGTCTTGCTTGCCAGCCTGCAAAGCACAGCTTTCTCCGGTGCTTGGCTCAGGAGCTGGAGGAGTCTTCTGTGCTAGGCTTCTAACTGCATTCACTATGTCTTTTACTTTCTGTATTCTGATGCTTTGATATCTGGTGCCTTGCTGACTCTGGAGGATAGCCCCTCTCAGGGTAAACCAGTTCCTAGCAATAGTAAATAACTTACCAGTGAGCACTCTACAAATGCAAACCAAACAATCCAGGGCCCTTAGCCTCAGCCACCTCTCTTATTGGCTTTCACACTCCAGGCCACTCTTCACCTATCCTAATCACCTTGCAGGCATCTTCAAACTACGGCCCGAGGGCCACATGCGGCCCGCAGAGGAGTCTGATCCGGCCCGCCAGGTTTTTTGGGCAGTGAGCGCAGCTGAGGTGTTACAGTAGGAATTAGTAGTTCATATAGTCCGGCCCTCCAGCTCTCTGAGGGACTGTGATCTGGCCCCCACTTAGTTTGAGGACCCCTGCTTAGGGCGAGGCAGCTAGGGACAGCTCATATGTCCACCCCTCCCCCCCAGACACAAACACACACACCCTGCTGAAATTACTTAAACTAGCTAATCCTAAACTTGCTAGCCCAACTTCGCCCATCCTTTTCCTCAGAAACCACATTACTGGTTTAGGGCAGTGAAAATACTCTGATATAACAATGGTAAAAACATGTCATTGTATATTTGTTAAAACCCATACAACAGGGGTGTGAGGGCATGCGTGGGGGGGAGGATGGGGAGGGTAATGGGGGAATAAGGACACATATGTAACACCTTTATCAATAAAGAAATTTTAAAGAACAAAGAATGAACACTAATATACCAGTTCCACTAATATACCAAGAGCCCACAGTTCCCTCCCCTGACCCTGGTACTTTTAATATATTTTATTGATTTTTTACAGAGAGGAAGAGAGAGGGATGGAGAGTTAGAAACATCGATGAGAGAGAATCATTGATCAGCTGCCTCTTGCACACCCTTTACTGGGGATGTGCCCACAACCAAGGTACATGCCCTTGACCAGAATTGAACCTGGGACCTTTCAGTCCGCAGCCAACGTTCTATCCACTGAGCCAAACCAATTTCAGCAACCCTGGTACTTTTAAATGTGGCCCCCAATGCTATGGCATGTCCCCTCTTGGGAATCTGTGAGTTTAACAAACAACCTTTTCAGTAGTAATTGCCTCTTTACTTACTATAATAGTAAAACTCTTGTTATTCCAATCCCATTAGTGTTCCTCTTATTACTATTCCCCTATCCAAATGACCTTGTGGTTTCTGTCTTTTGATTGGACTCTGACTAATATAGTCTACTAAGTCCCATAATCATTTTATATCATCTTTTCTCCAGGGAGTGTTTGAGAGGGGGAAGTTGTGGTTTTCATCAATGCTTTACAATATAGACCAAGGGTCTATTTCCGGAATGTCACACAAAGCAAAAAGGAGCTGAACAAAAGTATAGAACTTAAATTAGAAACCTTCCCAAACTGATTACACACCATGATAAGATGATTCATATCTCTATCCTAGAAGTGAGTTTGAGCAGTATAGAGAATTATTACCTTTATAAGAAAAAACAAGTCTGTAGCTTTAAGTTTTACTCATATATATAACTGGAGGCCCGATGCACAAAATTTGTGCAAGGGGCTTGGCCCTGGCGACTGTGGCAGCTTGCCTCAGCCCTCGCAGCCCTGGAAGGTCATCCAGAAGGACATCCGGAAAGTTGTTCCGCTGTCTGGTTAATTAGCATATTATCCTTTTATTATTATAGATATCCAAAATCATTTTTAAAAGAATTTCAAGCAAATTACAAAAATTAAAACAAGATAAAAATAAACTAGTTAATCAGGGAAACTGGAAGACAAAAGTAGGGACAATAGATGAGCTTATTAGAATTTATGTTTCAAGCCGAAACCTGTTTGGCTCAGTGGATAGAGCGTCGGCCTGCTGACTGAAGGGTCCCGGGTTCAATTCCAGTCAAGGGCATGTACCTTGGTTGCAGGCACATGCCCAGTAGGGGGTGTGCAAGAGGTAGCTGATCGATGATTCTTCTCTCATCGATGTTTATAACTCTCTATCCCTCTCCCTTCCTCTCTGTAAAATAATCAATAAAATATATATTTTTTTAAAAAGAATTTATGCTTCAAGATTCTATATACTCACAAGAAGTTTGACTCATATTTGTCTCTGAAGTATTCAGTAAAGCACAGATGACATGATTGGTTTCTAATTCATTGTGGCTTTAAGATAAAGATTAAGCCCTAATATTTGACAAAGGAGGCAAGAGCATATGTTGAAGTCAAGACAGTCTCTCAATAAATGAAGCTGGGAAAATTGGTCAGATACATGAAAAAAAAATGAAACTAGGTCACCAACTTATAACATACACAAAAATAAACTTAAAATGGTTAAACTACTTAACTGTAAGATGGGAAACCATAAAAATCTTAGAAGACTCCATAGACAGCAAAATATCAGACACGTCTTGTAGCAATAGCTTAACTGATACAGCTCCTAGGGCAATAGAAACTAAGGAGAAAATAAACAAATGGGAGTACATCAAAATAAAAGGCTTCTGCACAGCAAAAGAAACCATCAACAAAACAAGAAAGCCCAATTCATGGGTGAACATATCTGTCAATGTTATCTCCGATAAGGGTTTAATCTCCAATAGTTACAGGGAACTCATACAACTTAACGAAAGGAAGATAAACAATACCATCAAAAAATGGGCAAAGGACCTAAATAGACACTTTTTTTTAATTAAAGTATTACATGTGTACATATCTTCCTATTTCCCCCCACCCCACAGTATCTTGCATCCATTGGTTATGCTTATATGCATGCATACAAGTCCTTAAGTTGATCTCTTAAACACCCCCTTCTCCACCCTTCTTGCTGTAATTTGACAGTCAGCTCGATGCTTTACTGCCTCTGTATCTATCTTTTTGTTCATCAGGTTATAATGTTCTTTATTATCCATAAATGAGTGAGGTCATGTGGTATTTTTCTTTCATTGACTGGCTTATTTCACTTAGCGTAATGCTCTCTAGTTCCATCCATACTGCTGCAAATGGTGAGAATTCCTTCTTTTTTATGGCAGCATAGTATTCCATTGTATAGATGTACCATAGTTTTCTGATCCAGTCATCTTACCATTTGCAACAACATGGATGGAGATGAAGAACATTATGTTAAGCGAAATAAGCCGGGCAGAGAAAGAGAAATATCACATGATCTCACTCATTTGTGGAAAATAATGAACAACATAAACTGATGGGAAAAAATAGATCCAGAGACAGAGAAACATCAATCAGAACATCAAACTTCAGGAAAGATAGGGGACAATGGGGGTAAGGGAGAGAGCTCAACCAAAGGACTTATATGCATGCATATGAGCCTAATCAATGGACACAGACAACAGGGGGGTGGGGCATGAGTGAGGGTTGGGGGGTAATGGGGAAATAAGGACACATATGTAAAATAATAATAATAATTTTAAAAATTAAAAATTAAAAAAAAATTGTGAGGTAACCAGAAACCCAAGAATGCCTGAGAATACCATGCTAGCAGTCATCAGCTGTATGGTAATATTACCTGGGACAAATGAGGAAGTATTTTGAACTTATGTTCCTGACCCTTCATGGTAAGAGCCAGTACTTGGGCTTATCCCCCGCCTAATGTAATCATCAATAATACCAAACACCTTGGTCATTCAGGAGGATCATGGGTGGGGCAAGGAAGTATAATTACAGAGGGGTCTTCACCCAGCTTCCCTTTCGTATGACACAAAATCAAACCACTGCTCCTTTGTGTATAAAATTAAAGAGATGTTTCTGGCTTGTGTGGACACCAAAGGAAGGGACTATCACTTGCTCCTGGGAGAGGTGCAGAAAATGTAACTAAGATCTTGTCTATACAAAAAGAAATCGACAGCCAGTTTGAAATGGAATTGCCATGACCTAGAGCAAAGAATATCCTTTCATGATATTATTCTACAATGTCATTATAATTTTTCCCAGATTTGTGTTACCCCCATTACCTATAATAGTACCTCACATCCTTGGGAACCAATAAAAAAATCTTTTTTTTTTTTTTTTTTTTTTTTTTTTTTGGTGCTTGCTTGGAGACAAAGGTAACACATCTCATATTTTAGAATTACAACAGCATAATATACAATTATCCCAAACAAACTTACAAACTAACTCTTTGAATGTCTGGTAGCTATTTAAAAAGGACAGGAAAGGATTTAGTCCCCTCCATTACTAATAGCCTACAATTGCATCATGCTTACACATACTAAACATTGTACTAAGTAATTTATATATATTAAAATTAATCTACGTAATTGCCATAACAAGCCTATGATTAGGTGTATCATCATCATCATCACCACCATCATCATCTCCTTTGCAAAGGAGGAAACTAAGCACAGAGAATTCACTTGCCCAAAGTTGTCTAGGTGCTGGTTGAGGATCCAGTTTCAACCCAAACTACTGTGGCTGAAAGTCTGTGTTCAGGTGTACTTTACTCTGGTGCCTCATCAAAGGTCTTGAAATCCTGTTAAAGTAAAGCATTTTATAACATCTTTCTTGTATTTAAATAAACATATCTCCTCAGTGTTTACTGTCTATAAATTTTTCCACTCCTCAGTGTTTACTGTCTGTAAATTTCAGCCCCTGATTACACCAAGCTATTTCAGATTTGGGAAGAGAAATGGGTAATACTTATATAACAGTTGGTATTTTAACTTATATTTGAATATAGACACCTTTAGCATTCGAAAAATTCATAACATTCAAAACAGATTGCTAAAACCCTCCACTGAAGGTCAAAAGTAGTTCACCTTTGACACTCTTAGGTCTGGAAACCATCTCCGCCTAGCACCTAACTGTGCTAGCACCTGGCTGCCAAAGGTGGTAAAGAAATTGCATGCTTTTCTCCCCACTTGGTTGAGCCCCATGGTATAATGTTTAGAATGAAAAAAATTCCCCCAAATTCTGCACAATAAATAGGTCAACGGAATGCTTAAACATTTGCCCAGGAAGCTGGAAGTATATGTATAAAGTCATTGCTTGGCAACTATGTTAATCCCTTGTGAGGCTGATGGTGGGGGCAGAATCTTGTGCGATTTTTGTTGTTGTTGTTGTTGTTGGTTTTTTTGTTTTGTTTTGTTTTGTCTCTTAATCCTTACCGGAGGGTATTTTTCATTGATTTTTTTTTTTTTTTTTTTTTTTTTTTTTTTTTTTTTTTTAGAGAGTGGAAGGGAGAGACATAGAAACATCAATGTGAGAGAGACACATCAGTTGGTTGTCTGCAGCGTGTACCCTGACCAGGACCAGGGATTGAGCCTGCAACCAAGGTATGTGCCCTTGACCAGAATCAAACCCAGACCCTTCAGTCTATAGGCCGACACTTTATGCACTGAACCAAACTGACTAGAGCTGTTTTGGTTTAGTTTTCATTTTATTGGTCCATGCAATTCAAAAGTCTGGGAATAACTGGTTTGAACTTTGTGTCTCCTTTCTTCCCCTGTGTAATGGCTAATTATATGTATCAACTTGACTGGGCCATGGGATGTCCAGATGTCTTGTTATATTATTTCTGGGTGTGTCGCTGAGGATATTTGCAAGAGATTTGCATTCGAATCAGTCAATCTGTAGACTGAGTAAAGTCAATGTCCCTCCCCAGAATGAGGGGCCTCATCCAATCCACTGAAGTCCTGAATAAAACAAAAAAGTAGAGGAAGGTGGAATTCTCTTTCTGCCTGACTGTTGAGCCAAGACATCCATCTTCTGCCCTTAGTACTCCTTGTTCTCAGGACTTCAGACCCAGACTAGGGTCTACCTTCAAAATACAGCGCTGGCTTTGCTGAATCTGGCCTCCATATCAAATGAGCCAATTTTGTATAATAAATAATGACGTTTCAGTAAATAATGGACTGCCTATACAAAGGTGGATACATAACATTAAAATGGAGCTGAAAAATTCCTATCACTTAGTGACATCATAGCCACTGTAACACCACAGTGCAATGCATTCTTCATGTGTTTGTGGTGATATTGGTGTAAACACATCTACTGAGCTGCTACTCACATAAAAGTATAGCACATACAATTATATGCAGTATAGAATACTTCATCATAAAAATAAATGACTATGGTGCTGGTTTATGTATTTACAGTGCTATACTTTTTATCATCATTTTAGAGTGTGCTCTTTCTACTTATAAGTCTGTTGTAAAACACTATGTAATGTTACACCAGCAGCAGCCTCATACATCCCGGGCTTACTTCCTCACTTGATTGCATCGTTTTTTCTTGTGTTTGATTTGATCTCATGTTGTTTTGTACACATAACATGCTGTACAGGTTTGTACCTAACAGCAAGACCATATAGCCTAGGTGTGTAGAGGCTATATCATCTGGGTTTGTGTAGTGTACTCTTTGATGTTTTTCACAACAAAGAAATCGCCTAGCTATGCACTTCTCAGAATCTACACCCATCCTTGAGTGGCTCATGACTATAGAGACAGATATAGAAACAGAGATTATAGAGATAGAGTGATAGATTCTGTTTCTCTGGAGAAGTTAATAACCCTCCCAGACATTTCTTAACCCTTACCTCCAGCTCCAATTGTCCCCTGAAAGTGTTCTTATCAATGTCCACACCACCTCCACGTTGCTGATTCTAGGGCTCACTTCTCTGCCCTATTTTACCATATGTCTCAGCACCACCTGACACTGAGCCATTCCTTTTTAAAACTATCTACTTTTTTGGCCCTCAGGTCCCCTTTACCCTGGCTCTTGTACTTGTCTCCGGCATTGTTTCAGACTCTTCCAAAGCACCTCTCCTCTCACCTGCCTCTTAAGTGCTAGTGTCCTAGTATCTCACCAGTGCAGGCCTGACAATTCATTCCTCACCTTGCCTCCTTCCACACAGTTGGATATGTCCCCTTAAGTGATTCCTGGGAAGGCAGTGTGGTCAACCCAACAATCCTGATATGGGTTGAGACACTTATGTGTTGAAAGGCAATTCTCCACGACTATCTCAGGTTTCTTCATGTTCCTGGACTTCTTAGTGAATGAATTTATAACCAAGTTAAGATGTTGGTATAAGGAGACATTCACTGATAGAAGGTCCAAGGTCAAGGTTCTGGCAAGGTTTTACAAGAGCCCTGGTGAGAGCCTTCTTCCTGGCTTGCAGACAGCTTCCTTCTCACTGTGTCCTCACATGGTCTTTCCTCCATGCTTGCACATGGAAAGAGTGAAACCAATCTCTCCGGTGTCTCTTTTTATGAAGGCACTTACCCCATCAGACCAAGGGACCCCTCCTAATGAGCTAATCATCAGCTAAAGGCCTCATCTCCAATTACCATTAATCGAGGGTTAGAGCTTCAACATATGAATTTGAGGAGAGATACAAATATTCAGCCTACAATAGTGGGGTAAACATTTGACTTACAATTTTGGAAAAACAGAACCTTGCAGAAGGCAGGTCTACAGTGTGCCTAGAGATCTCTCCTTCCTTCCTTGCATGCTTCCTCCTCCTATTGCCCTTTCTCCCGGCTTTCCTCCTCTTGTGTGCAATATGGCTGCTGGGGCTCCAGCAATCACATGTTAAGGTTCAGTTTGAAGTTATTAAGCTGGTAAGGCAAGATGGGTCAGTGGGAAGCGGGAACTTCATGGTCTGCCTTTTACCAGGGTCATAAAGTCTCCTTTCCATACCGAGGGCAATCATAGGCAAAGGGGCCTAGCCATGATTTCCAAGAAAACCAGAGGTGAGCCCTGATTGGTTTGGCTCGGTGGATGGAGCATCGGCCTGCGGACCGAAGGGTCCCAGGTTCGATTCCAGTTAAGGGCATGTGCCTTGGTTGCGGGCACATCCAAAGTGGGGGGGGGGGGTGCGGGAGGCAGCTGATCAATGTTTCTCTCTCATGGATGTTTCTAGCACTCTATACCTCTCCCTTCCTCTCTGTAGAAAATCAATAAAAATATATTTAAAAAAAAAAAAAACAAAAAAAACCAGAGGTGAGTTGAAGAGGGGTGAGAAGTTGAATATGTGAACCCTAGCGAAACGGGCAGGAACATAAGTCTAGTCCAGGATCAGATACTGGCTTGATTTTCATAGCACTAATTTAACCAACATTATTTCAATGTCATTCTTAATATAAACCAAGGGCGGAAATTCTGAGGGCGGCGTTAGAACACTTGGTTGCCCTCCAGATGGCAGGGGGAGGGGGTGCGGTTGTGGGAGGGAGGGAGAAAAGGGGGTGGCATGGAATTGCTAAAACGTATGGAATTCCTCCCGCTTGGAGATGTCATGACTAGGGACTCTCAGGGGCCCGAGCTTCCGCGCCCCCAAACTTTCCTCGTAACAAAGTGCTTGGCTAAAAGTGGGAAGAAAAAGTAAAAGAAAAGAAATGACTTTCAATCCTTTAATTCCTCTGAACTTTAAAAAAACAAAAACAAAAACGCTGCATCTCAATAATCAATCTGGTAGTTCCCTGAGCAAAGCACGTTCTGTACCTGTTACGAAGCGAGTCCCCAAGAGATAAACCACCGGAGCCAATTTGATCAAGCATGCAAGAGTTTATTACAGATTGGAATCCGGGCTCAAACCTTGGCTGACACAGCAGCCGGCAAACACCCAGGCAAGAGCCCCGATGGAGGGGCAGTCCTTCTTCTTATATTTCTTTTTCTCATCCCATTCCATTGTTGGTCTCTCACTCTCTGATTGGCCCCTCAGGACAAATAATTGGCTGTCTTTAGCTGTTCTTTAGGTGATTTACACAACCTGGCCTGTTTTGCTTCAAATAGAATGTCTGTCCTGACTCCCAATGGGAGTGCAGGATGCTGCGGTGTTTTATGACCCCAATTTCCCAGCCTGATCTGGAGGGAGGCCTGCATGTCCCACCCAAAGGAACTCCCGGCACTGAGTTACGAGTGATTTTATTTTTTTAAACTTTTTCCCCCTGGCCTGGTCTGTCTCCAGAGTCCTTATCTCTTGGGCAGACGGGGCCGACTGTCACATTCCCTCCTGGTCTTATCGGGTAATCAAATCCTTGATTCCTCCTCCTCCCGGTCCTCCGTATTGAGACTATGATAGTGAGTTTGGAGGACTATGATCTTAAGGTCCTGGACTCTGGATTGTATTAAATTTACCAGAGATCTGAACAAACAAGGACCCACAGTTAGAGCTAGCAATAGAATGAGGAGGGGGCCGGCTAAGGCACTAATAAGAGTTGTTAGCCAAGGGGACCACATAAAGAGGTTTTCATACCAGTTCCCTTGGCTGGCCCTGGCTTTCTTTTTTTCCTTTAATTTTTTTCTTAGTTGGCTGAGGCTCTCCTTTATGACTTCAGAGTGGTTGGTATAAAAATAACAAGCTTCACCCAGGGCTAGGCAAAGCCCTCCCTGTTTGAGAAAAAGTAGGTTTAAACCCCATCTATTCTGGAGGACAACTTCAGCTAGGGAGCTCAGTGACCCTTCTAGCTTGCTGACTGTATTTACAAGAGTGCTAAGGTCAGTATTTATCTGTTGGCTTAATTCTTTGTAGTCCTGGTTCCCCTTAATAAAGGCTGATGTTCCTACAGCCGTTGATCTTGCAATTTCAATTCTCAGTAAAAGGGGAGTAAGGACTAGGGCCCTCTTAACCTGGTGTGGGGCGAGACCTAAGTGTTCTCGGCCCCCTTCCCCAGAGAAGTAATAGACCTGAGGAAAGTATGTGTGCTAAGATGCAAAGGCCTGGCGATTCCTTGTCTAAGAGAAACGGGGGAAAGGCACAAGGAGTTATTCCATTGGTACAAGCCCACCAAGTCCCTTCAGGGGCAGCCAGCAGGGATACTCCTCCTCGAGATGGCTCCTCCGGTAGCAGGATGGTGGAGGCGCAGGACGAGGAGTAGAAAGAGTTCTTCAGAGGGGAATTAGCAGGCATCAAGCACGTTCTTTGTCCTTGTAGATCCCCGACCCCACTGGCAGTGACCCTCCGCAGCGTCCATGGAGATGTTTTTTATGTTCTGTGGGGTATCTCTAAGAGAGATGTTAACAGCAATTCCTGAATAATAAGGGGGTTCTGGGTTGAGACATGACCAATAGTCATTTGTGAGGCTGGGGTGAGTCCTTGGACAGTGAATTTCTTTACCCACACTGAGTCTCCTGACTGGAAGGGGTGTACAGGATCCACAGTGGGCACTGGCAGTGCATCTGGAACAAGCTTACAGGTGGCTCTCTGGGTAAAATGCAGAGCCTATAAGGACTTGAGCAAGAGAATGGTTATGAATTCTAGTTTTCAGTTTCTCCCTGACCCCAGGAAGGATGGAGGGAGGTCTACTATGTATGATCTAAAAAAAGGGGGGGGACCAGGGGGTTGGTCCAATTTTCACTGGTTTCCAGGACAAATTTAATTAAATTTTATAGAGTTCCGCTCAGGCCTGTCCTAAGGCTTGAGCTATACTTTGAGATACCTTGCTACAAAGGCTGGGCTGTTATTTGATCCTATGATTACTGGCAACTCGAATCTAGGTATAATCTCCTGGAGTAATTTTTTGATTATTACAGAGGCAGTTTCTATCCTATGCTTCAACCTAATCTGAGAAGGTGTCTATAAAAATTAGCATGTAGTTGTACCTTAATGCTGGTGGCTTAATATCTGCGACATCTACCTCCTAATGCTCTCCTGGGGAATTTCTCTGGGGCCCGAATTCCCAGGGGGACCCTTTTAGCATTTACCTGTGCACAGACAGTACTTCTAGTGATTATGCTTTTACCTTATCTAAGCTTATAGTATCTGTCTCACAGAAGTTCAGAAGTCTTGGTGACACCTAAGTGGGTAACCTGGTGTAACTGGGCAACTAACGTCTGACCTAGAGCCTCTGGGACCAACAGTTTGCCATCTGATAGGGTCTACCAACCATCTGGTCCTTTAATGACTTGCTTCTGTTCAGCCAATTCCTCCTCTTGTTTGGTGTAGGTTGGGTTCCGGCAGTCTTGTAAAGGCCCTACTGGTCTTTGGGCATTTTCTTTAGCAGTTTGGTCTGCGGCTCTATTTTCTCTGGCTTCAATTGTCTCCCCTTTCTGATGTCCTTTGCAGTGCACTATTGCAACTGCTTTTAGGAGTCAGATGGATTCAAATAAGCTAAAATCTCAGAAATTGGTAATCCTCTTTCCTGGGGGATGGCACTGTGTCCCCATTGAAGGGCCTGGATTAAGGCCAAAAGTTCAGGAATTGTGTCCAAATGGTGTGGTCCAGGGTGACTACTGCTGCCCCTGTATATCAGATCCCATCCCGAACGTAACTGCTCCCATTTGTGAACAGTATCTTGTCTGGTGATGACGGCAGGACATCTGTCAGTACTGCATCTGTTACCTCTATGCCATCATGAATGGGTTCCTCTGGATCATCTGGAAGCAGGCTGGCAGGGTTGATGGCCAGTGTCTTATGGAATTGGACGCAGGGCTGGTCCAGGAAAAGAGCGTGGCACTGGGTGATATTTGATATCCATCTCTCTGGAGCACTTCAAAGGAGGGCCTCAATGGCATGGGGTGTTGTCAGGGCTAGCTCCTGGCCCAGAGTCTGCTTATCTGCCTCCTTCATCAGAAATGCAATGGTGGCCGCTGCTCAGAGGCACACTGGCCACTCTGCTGCCACAGAGTCTAGTCTCTTAGACAGATAGGCAACAGGTCTCTTCCAGGAACCTAGAGACTGAGTGAGAATCCCTTTGGCAATTCCCCTTACCTCACTCACGTAAAGGTGGAAGGGCTTCGTGACATCTGGCAAGGCTAGGGCAGGTGCTGAGACGAGAGCCTTCTTTAGCTCCTCAAAGGCCTGTTGTTCTACTTCAGTCCAGTTCAGCGACTGCGTTCTTCCAGTACATGTTCCTTCTTAGGTCTACAGTCCTTGATGTCCAAGGAAAATAGTCAGTTTGTCTGGTGGCTCCCTGGACTGATATTTTCCTAGAGGTCCCATCGGCTCTGTCAAGACTGAATAAACTGCCCAGTGCTCACCAGGAAATTAATAGCTTTTCCTCTCACTTGTAAGGTTACCCTTGGGGGCTTAATTGAAAGGAGCCCTGGTCCTGTTAGTCTTTTTCCTTGAGGTTAAAAACCTTTGGAATCTAAGTCTCCCTTTATTTTAGATGGTCTCTGTCACCTCTGGCCTCACCTTCTGTCTCTCTCCCTTTCTAATCTCTGTCCTTTCCTGTCTCTAGCTCATATCTCTCTCCCTCCCTTTTTCACATATATACTTACACTTATACATTCATATCACTTTCTCTTCCAATCTTTGTTTTTGCTTCTGTCTAAATCTTTCCCTCTCGTACTCCCAGAGTCTCTTTCTTAAGTCTCTATTTCGTTCTTTCTCTCTCTCTCTGTTTCTCCTTCTCATCACATGCACAACTTTCATAAAAATTTTTACTATTTTATATTAGCTTTTAAATCTTCTTTTTATGTTCTTCAAAAATCCATAACCATACCTCAAATCTTCCATTATTTAAAAATATTTAGAAAAGGCAGAGGGAAGAGGGAGCGGGTCCAGCACTCGGTTCCCAGGCCTCCAGCGGCTTGAGATTTAAACTGCCACATTCTTCCTACAGATAAAGATCTCAGATTCTGATAAGACTGAAAAGGGGAAGAAGAGAATTTCTAGCTGCGCCTTTAAGCCCCCTAACAGAACACGGTGAAAAGTGTCCAAGCAGTCACAGGGGGCGTTTTGGGGCCCCCTTGGGGTACAGGGGGGCCACAGGGGAATGTTCCTCCTTGCCTTACCGCCTCCAGCTACTCAAAACAACTCCTGGAGGTGAATGGAGGCAGGGAGCGAACGGGTCCCAGGTGGCAAAGGCGGTGCTTCCACCAGGGCGTTTTCATCAGGCTGTCCACCGCTTGCCTCTTGCTAGTGAAGGTGCCTTGGGGGAACCGGTGACCCCTACACTGCAATCAGACTCCTTGAGCTTTCTGAAAAGCTCCTCTGCGTGTGTTCTCATTAATATTACTGATTTTAAAACTTTAACTTAAGAGTTGACACACACACAGGACCACGGCCCACAAAATATTTTCCTTTTCTTTTAAAGATTTTATAATGTACTGTAATCACTAATCACATTAAACTTAGATGGCCAATTGAAAGAAATAGTTCTGAGACCGTTCCTCCACCACTGATGAAGACTGGGTGGAGGCAGGTGTCTGAAATAAGATTTATTTAGTTTTTGAGCTCGCTGGGCAGACTTGGCGACTTTGCCAGTTCAAGCTTCCTTCTTGTAAATAGTTAATTTTAGAATTTGGTCTCTGCTTTTAATTTTTGTACCATAATTGTTACAATTTCATATCTTCAAATCAATAAATATAGACATAAATATTGTTAGGTGGGCTGATACCCCTCTGATAGAAAGCAAAGCACCCCTGGGAAAAAGGAATCCCAGTGGCCACTCAGGGCGGTTTGCTAGCCATCAGAGCACTCAGCTTTAAACAAATTAAAGGTTTCTTTCTTTCTCTCTCCTCAGTGGGTGTTTAATAGTTGCTGGCAGTCATCCCAGGTGGGCTGGTGAGTGTAGAATACAGACTCCAGTAAAGTTATCAGCCCCTGGGGGTTCTGCGAAAAAGGGGGATTCTGATTCTTTCAATTGTACAAATCAGAGGGGGTGAAAAGAACATAAGTCCTTAGGCTCAGCCCATGGGAGTCCATCTCCCCCACCTCCCTAAGCGGTAACAGGGAAGCCATTTGGCTTTCACTAAACTGAGCTCCCGAACGAGTGTGGGGAGGGCTGAGGGGGAGCTCGTCAAGGGTGGTCCCTTTCCTATCCCCCTCACCAGAGCTGGAAGAGTCAGGTGACACAGGGGGTGCCTTCTCGAGGCAAAGGGGGATACTCCACTCTCATCTGGGATCTCACTGGGGGTCAGGCCCCTTCTCCTTGCTTGGCGAGGTAGTGGAGGCAGCTGCGGCCACATAAGGGGGTGGGCAAGGGAATTTCAGGCCCCACATCGAGTCTTCCTCAGGAGCCTCTAAAACAGGGGGTGCTGAGGGCGCCTGACTTGGCTTCTCTCTGCTCGCCTGTGGCCGGGCGAGCAAGACGGACCTGGGAGGTCTCTTTCCCAATTTTCCTTTGTCAGGGAGACAACCACACTCCTTCAGCCATTTGGGGTTATCAGAAAGAACATAAATCCAGATATCAATGTATGGAATTTGGTCCGGACGCCCAGGGCTCCTATAGACTATCCGCCGGACTCCCGTGCAGGGCCCCATGTCTAGGGTCCCTGTTGAAGGCCAATCAACTCCAAATGTCGGCCACTCCAATTCACAGAGTCTCCGGAGAGTGAAGGCATCTACAGAAACACCATAGCCTTCACTTCTTTTTTTGTTTGTTTGTTTTGTTTTGTTTGTTTGTTTGTTTGTTTGTTTGTTTTAAGTCAGGAAAATTTTTAACCATGCATTTAAGGGGACTTAGGTGACTCTCCTTTGAGTTTCCTTGCCTCATTTCTCTCTTTCTTCCCAATCTATAAACAGTTAGGCAGCAAATAAGTCCAAAACAAATCCCAAAAAGGAAAAACGAATACTTTTATCAATTCCCACACACTCGATTGCGGCTGCACTCTCTCAACACTCACAACAACACTCATTCAGACCAGAACAACACTCCCTCATACTAGAACCAAGGAGTCCCCAGACTCCAAACCCAGACAGAACCAGGGAGTCCCCAGACTCCAAACCCAGACAGAACCAGGGAGTCCCCAGACTCCAAACCCAGACAGAACCAGGGAGTCCCCAGACTCCAAACCCAGACAGAACCAGGGAGTCCCCAGACTCCAAACGCAGACAGAACCAGGCCTCGGTGATCGTCACCACCTCGGTTGCGAACCGGGAGTTCAGCGGCGTCCCGCCTCCCGCGTTCACGAAACAGGGTACTTACCAAACCAGGACAAGAAGCTTCAAGAAACTAAAAAGAGAAACCAGGCCTGACTTACCGGCGCCAAGTAGGCAGATCCAGGAGTGGTCCGATGTTCTAGAGGACTTGAAATTTCTTAAATTTCTTAGAGGGGCTTACTGAGAAGCCCCCCTGGTGGGATCTCGCTGGGGAGCCTCCAAATGTTACAAAGCGAGTCCCCAAGAGATAAACCACCGGAGCCAATTTGATCAAGCATGCAAGAGTTTATTACAGATTGGAATCCGGGCTCAAACCTTGGCTGACACAGCAACCGGCAAACACCCAGGCAAGAGCCCCGATGGAGGGGCAGTCCCTCCTCTTATACCTCTTTTTCCCATCCCATCCCACTGTTGGTCTCTCACTCTCTGATTGGCCCCTCAGGACAAATAATTGGCTGTCTTTAGCTGTTCCTTAGGTGATTTACACAACCTGGCCTGTTTTGCTTCAAACAGAATGTCTGTCCTGACTCCCAATGGGAGTGCAGGATGCTGCGGTGTTTTATGACCCCAATTTCCCAGCCTGATCTGGAGGGAGGCCTGCATGTCCCACCCAAAGGAACTCCCGGCACTGAGTTATGACTGATTTTATTTTTTTAAACTTTTTCCCCCTGGCCTGGTCTGTCTCCAGAGTCCTTATCTCTTGGGCAGACGGGGCCGACTGTCACAGTACCATC